ACCTACCACTACCACAACTTCCTTTCCTCCAACTCAGTTTACATCAAGCTCCACTTCAATCCAGACCAACCCCAACGCTGCTACCATCAGCATGGTCACTTCTATGTTGGCTCCACAGCTATCGGCATCCCCCACCGCGAGCATAATCGCCGCGCCAAACTCAAACAACTCCAAAATAACATTCCCATTTCTGCAGAACTCTCCCTACGTTATTGGCATTCACATAACAACATCCACCACTACACCACTATTCAACTTACCTCCCATGACACATACGACCAAGCCTGGATCCAAGAGCACCATTACATCGCCAACTGGATGCCTCCGCTCAACTGGCCTTTCATTTCCCACCACCTCAAACTCAAAGCTCAGGGATGGCAGTTCGCAAAACACAGAGCCCACTTCTACTCCAGATTAGCCACCCACAAACGACTTTTCCGACGCCTTCGACAACGCCAGTACACCCTCCGAGAACCACACCTCTACACCTCCACTAAGCATCACGCCCTCCAACTTCTTCGCAACCTTACCAAACACACCGCAGCCTCCTTTGAAGCAGCCAAAGAGCTACGAAGCGGACGCCACACGGACCTCGAAGTCTATGCAATCCGGCGCATGGCCGCAAACCTGGAAGAACCCGGCCGCAGCCGAGCCCTCCACATCCTCAACAAAGCCTTGATCTACCGCAACCTCACGCCACCAAAACCAAACATCCCACTGACAGTGCCCTTCTTGGCCCATGACGACTTTACCAAGCACTGCCAACAGTGGCTTCGTACTACCATCCAGCAGCACAACCACCGCACATGGGAAGACACCCTCCACTCCCCACCAGATCCAGCGGACCTTCCCTGTGCATGCGATCACCTGCGCACCCTCTTGCAGGATCCCGATACCCCTACCATCAACGGCCACTACATCCTTACACTTGACCAACTCCAACTCCCTCCACACCTCGGCATTTTTCTCAACGCCAATATGAACAGCACCTATTACCCAAGCAAAGCTCGCTACTTCCTCATTTTCAAGACGGCCTACACCAAATGGCTCAAACTACAAGGGCTTCCACCATCCCTCGTACAGCATCTACAACCCTTCCTTGAGCACCAATGGCGCCTTCATAACACACACCTCAAGCAGCAACCCCGTTTTACGGCCCGCCTGCTTCGTCAACTGCAAGAACATTTAGGCAAACACACATTGCTCCACCATGCCGATCATGAGCTCCAACAACTTCGGCTGTTTTGCCCTCGACAATACTTCACTGGAGCCTTGAACACCTGGCAATCCCCCGAACTTTTCGAACCACTTCCCTACATCACTGCCGCCAACATCCACGACCACCTGGCCGCCACAGTCCCCTCCATCCTACGCACCCGCTACAAGTGGGGCTTCCGCAAGGACTTCAACATTCCTTACGGCGTTGTCCACCTCAAGGAGAAGAAGCACTGGCAAAAAGGCCGTACAATTATCTCCTACTTCCAATCCCTCAGTGGCAACCTACTTCGCATTACCAGCCGTGCCCTTGACATCATCCTCCAACACCTTTACCCACAGCACCCCGGCCAAATGTCCATTCCCCAGCTTTGGCACCATTTTCACAGCTACCTCACCCAAACCCCACCAGACATCTCACTACACGCCACCAACGATGACCTGGTCGGTTTCTTCAACTCAGTTCCACAGCACAGACTTATTGATGCGGTTCACTCCCTCGTCCACCACTGGCAACAACAGCAATCCACACACACCCTGACGGTGGATGTCCAGGCCACCGGCAACCCTTTCCACCACTCACACATTGGCAGACACCACAGAAAACACCCTACCCAACGCACCATCCAGACTTCCGACATCACCACCATCGTGGCTTTCGCCCTCAACACATGCATTTTCCGGGCTTGCAACAACACTTACAAACAAATCCGAGGAGCCGGGATTGGATCCCAGCTCTCTCCAGCCCTATGCAACGTTGCTATCACTCTCATTGAGCACTCCTGGCATCAGATCCACAATAACCTCCTTCAACACACAGACCTCCACTTTACTTACTATCGCTATGTCGACAACCGCTTCATTGTCCACAACGAACATTTCCTTCAGCACCCGGCTATTCAAACCCTTATCCACCACAATTTCTTTGGCGACCCTGTGGAACTTGAACCGGTGGAGGATTTCCATCTCCTCGGTTTCAACATCGACCTCCCACAACGCACCATCAACTACATGCAACCTTCTCAACCCTGGAAAATCCGGGATTCCACCACTGCCGGGAGCCAGCGCTTGGCTCTATCAGGCCTCCAATCACGACTTCACACCATTCGAAAATACACATTTCCACCCTCCAGCGCTGATGCTGCCGCGGCTGAACTTGTGAATCTATATGTCCAAAAGGGGCATAACTATCACGCCTGCCACCGGTTTTTGAAAAATGCGCCGAATGCGGCGACCTGTGTGTGTCCAACCCTGGACAAAGGGTTTTCCACCACCACTCTTTCTATCTTACAAGAGCAGGGGGCAGAGGGATCTCCAGTCGTGGCCTCTGCCAACGAAGCTCCACACTGGACGATCAGGAAAACGTACCTGCGCCGTGATACCACTCCACTCTTCCTTGCTGTGGTTTGATGCCATGGTTGTTTGATCACGATACTCTCCCCTCAAACAGGTTTCCCACCGCAGTCCTCAGCCACCGGAGAGTTACAGTCAGCCGCTTGTGCTTTGCAGCTAGCCGCGCGAGTGAAACTTTTTTCAACAATTCAAGTCTTTGGACCTTTTCGCCTTGCTGTTCCATCACCTTCCTTCTCACCGAGACAATTGCGTTAACTGAAAACCCAAGTTCGAAGTGTGTGTATCATGCATGACAAGTATACAGTAGGTGTAAAGACACTACGGGAAAGCTGAACTTTGGTAAATGATGCCAAGATCATGGAAAGCATCCAGGATTGTGGAGAGACCACTCCGGATTGACATGGCGTTGCAGTGGCACAATCATTCAACATAGGACCAACACATTCCATGTGTTTGTGATTGGGGGTATGTCCAAACGCTTGTACAAATTCAGAAGGCTTGTTCAAACAATTACCATCAATTTCCGCAGCAACTCTGCGGTGAGAAAAAGGCATTTGCGCACAACATGTCTGGTGTTTGCCCAATATTCTGAAACCTCTTTCCTTCCATTTTCTTTTCACTTGCCCTTCCCCTTGTATTGCCGTCCTTATTCCCATAGTGAATCAAATCTTTTAGTTTCCAATGTCCATCGAGGTCTATATAATCTTAGATGTGTTTGTGTTATTGAGTCCTTTCATATTGCCTCTCATGGTGCCTGTTTTCTATTTTAATTATGTGTCTTGCGAGCAATAGATTCAGAATTTAAAGCTGGGACCTTGGCCAAACCATAAACTTGCTTGGTGCGCACTTTGACACGGGAAAATTCACAAGAAAACTACGAAAGCATGGTTGTATGGTGCCTGGCTTGGCTGGAGTAAAATACTCGCAACGTAAGCCAGCTGTCCATCATGCACTTTCCCAACCCAATTGCAGGAAGAAATGCACACTAGCTTGCCCTGGTTTGCATACATGAAATCATTGGGCACAAGCTTTCGGCGTTGCGGACCGAAGGTTTCACGGACATTTTGTGGCCGAGGGTTCACTTCAAACGAAAGGAAGCAAGGCAATGTCTTACGCTGCAGGCAACGGTCGCCGGAGATGGCTCTTTCGGAACGGTCGCCCGGGGTTGGTGCCGTGGTCCCTCTGCGATCCTCGTTCCAGGCAACCAGCCCTTGACTCGTTCGCAGTCGTTCGCAGTTCCCAACTTTCGATCCACTTCGGTGACTGAACGCTTTGACCTCAAGCTCCCACTCTGGGGCGTGGGAGAACCAAACCAATGCAAATCGGCAAGGAAACTACGAGTTCAGGTTGTTTTTAACTCATGGGACACCAACAACAACAAGATCTCATGATTGATGCGCATTCTTTGGCACAAATTTGGTAGTGGTGGTGGTGGTGGTGCAGCTGTGCTCAAACGTCGCTTGATGCCCTCTATGCGGTTGAACAACAAGGTGAAACCCAAACACAATACAATAGTTAATTGATTCATATCAATGAAGGAATTGACAGTGACCTTGGAGATCAACGTGGATGATGTGCTTCGAGAAGTTATATCCTTTGAGGGGCCACATGATGTTTCTACGTGATGCCCTCACAGAGCTCTGAGGGAATGGTTTCCCAGGTGCGGCTGAAACAAGAGCGATGTGCTTCAAGCCACACATCGCCATAGCTAGAGCTCTTCTCACAGCTGTCACATGCAGCTTTGCATGACAACATTGAGTGCACGAGCTTGGACCTACGCTACCGCATGCCGCCACCACAACAACGAGCACGACGACACACTTCAACAAGCGGTGAAATTGGAAACATGTGAGTTTGAAACGGCACTGCATTGGCACTGGCTTCTGGAGAAGACTTTGCGAAACCTGAAAGAGTTTCTATAACTAATGCGAGTTGTTGCCAGCCCGAAACGTTCGCGGCATCACTATCAGCGGGATTATATTATATATATATTGTACTTTGTGGATCAATTTTGGTCCTTTCTTGGGGTGGCATCCTCCAGGACATGAAGCCAGTGCAGGATGTAACGCTTATATAAGGTCAGATTTCGTGGCAGACAAGAAACCGATGATATTTTGCAGATTGCGGGTAGTGGCCAGTGACAGGCACACAAGCAAACAATAACAACAAACACCACCCACCAGCAGTCACCATGAGCAACCAAAAGCCATCATCAGAAGCCAAAAAAACATACTCGCCCAAACATACATTCCCAAATCACCTTCTTAGAACAATGTAAGAACCCTGTAAAGTCAGGCCTTAGGAATGCGAGATAGAACGAGGCTTTTATGGCAAGTAGGAAAAGAGAAATATGTTGTTATGTGTCGTGCTCAAGGGTGCACAAGGAGTTGGTCACCAGTCGAACGTCAGCACGCCAGGATGGGCCAAGTGACCTGCATTGTGCTCACAGCCGCTACGTCAGCCAACCTCAAAACGGATGCGTTCAGAGTCTTTACTGCATGAATCTTCACACATACTTATAATAAATATATATATATAATAGATATACACATGTGTACACAGGTGCATTACATATCTTGACATCCTGACATAACCCCCGATGAGTAGAAATGAAATCACACCATGCGGCCTCAAGATCTCTGCCACTTGCCCATCTTGCACTCGATAGAGCGACATCCCCGATCCTCCAATCCGGTTGGCTTTCGAAGGGAATGGGGCAACGCACAGCACTCCGCCATTCTGGTCCCAGAAACCCGAAATAAGCCAAAAGGCCCTGTACCCCTCTGCACCCTGACCACCTGGCCAATCCCCCCTCAGAAAAAGAACGGCTGTTGTCATCCTCGCCACCCTAAAGACCATCCGTCGCCACACCCCGCCAAAAAATAATAAACAGCAAAAAGCCAGCTGTCGCAGCCTGGCAGACCTTGCAGGCTTCGTTCTCCCATCCCTCCATCCACTCACGGCTCCCGCATCCCGTCCTTCGCCCACGGCGCGAAGCTCCCAGGCATCGGAAGCGGCCAAGCGCAGCTGCGTTCCGGGCCCGACGGCCTGCGCCAGGCGGAAGGTCCTGGGCGCTCCGAGTCCAGCGATGTTCCCTATCCCAGACACGACCTCTCTGGGACTGCCAGTCCGGACTGCCGCCCCATTGACAACCAGTCAACCACCCCGGCATATATGGCAGTCCCATGGAGTGTCTGGGATAGGGAAATCAAAGAAAAGAAGCACCTGATCCGCAAAAACCCAGGGGTGGTTCTGAACCTGGTGGTTCTGAGAAACCTGAAGACTCCTCAATACTCCTCAATGCCTCACTCTTGGGTCCCACATGGAGGGAGAGCTCGGAGATCCATCTCAGGTCGGTCCAGAGTTTTGGCCTCGACCGAAGGTGGGGCATATGGAGCCTTCCGGGCTATGTGCGTGAGATAGAATTATACCCTAGGGATCCAGTCGGACCATACGTACCTTCCCAGAAGGTACGACTAGACCCTCCTGGCACCTACATAACAGTGTCTCCTTCTTCACCTACCTGAGAAGGTACGACTGGATCCCTAGGGATATCAGGATACAGGTTACGTGTAAAGCTTCCCACAGACGTGATCCCACATCGCCTTGAAAATGACACATCGGATCCCATGGATCCACATACTAACCTTCTCAGAAGGTAATTGGACCTTCCAAGCCTACACAAAATAGTCTCCAATCACCTTCTCAGGAGGTGTGTGGATCCATATGGAATAATAGTGGTAAAAGCTTTTACCAAAGGTACACGCTGTGCTGACCTCCAACCGGCCGGCTGACACCAGAATTCAACACGCACGTCGTCACGTGCTGATTCCATTTCGACCAAGTGTCATCGAAAGCCAACCAGCCTCTTGTAGCCGCACTGGCAGTGGTGGGAGCGTAGAACGACTCGGAGCCACGCGTTCCAAGGTGGCATTGTCCACGAAAACATGGCCTACATCGACAGCACGAACACGTCGTGCGCGCGGTGTTTGATGCTTTATCCCGTAGAGTATGCCACTATCAAATGGTGATCCTTTTCCTTAGGTAAAATGGAAAACCGCTACCCAAGCATCTTCTCAATGGGCTATTCCAACGGTGGGTTTGGACCCTCAAACGTGGAGCCGCTCCAACCGTCCCACACCCCCGCCGACAGAGACGCCTGGGATCCGGAAGGCTGTGAGGTTCAACACCTCCTCGAGCACAAACTCGGAAGCCAGGGTCGCCGCATGGAAGCGGCTGAAGCCTGGCGTCAGACCCGCACGGCTCGCGCTCTCCCCCCCGACCCTTGGCCGTGCTGATGAGGCCACCTGAAAAGATCGAAAAGAACCTTCCGCCACTCCATAAAGATCTGATAGATTGCAGAAACGGCGAATGACAGTCACTTCATATGATGTTTTGCACATTGTTTATATCTAGATGGGGGGCAACATAACAGCTGAATCATTTTGGCTTTGAGCTTCACCCCCTGCCCAACTCCACTAATTTCAAGCCATTGGCTCTTTACCTTGGAATTGCCGGTGTTCAATGTCAAGAATCTCTAAAACGTATCCAGTTCAAAGCTCCCAAGTGGTTTGCTTTGGGCCAACGAACGATGGCAACCCCAAAGAACATCGATTCATACAAATGGATACCAATACAAATGGCTATCATCACTGCTATCATCTTCTTGTGGCAAGCATCCCAAACCATCAGGCTTACTCCCCCAGCATGGGGCCATATACATACCCCTCACATCGTTCTCAGCCATGCCATCAGCGTCATCCGCGTCAGTCCTGCCTCCCTCTCCCAGTTGGACGGGCCCCACTTGTAGGTCCAGGGCTTGGCCCGGTGCAGCGGCTCGCTGCGGGAGCGCCAGCAGAAGACGAGGACCTGACGCCTGGGGTCTTCTTGACACGCGCGCTTTGATGGCCCCGTGGCATTTTGAAGGGACAAGGTGACAGGGGGAGCATGGCATGATGGCACCACCTGTCGGAGAGCTTGCCCCCACTACCCCGGTGAGGATCAACATGCTAAGACCTCAACAAACACCTGCTACTGTCTGTACCAGGCTTCACTATGTCTGCGGGTTATTCAAAACGACTCTCAAACCCGTTTTCGGCGCAAGGCTTTCAATCATCCGATCCTTGCACAAGTGGACAGTGCTCTTTGCAAAGGAGTTGTGGCACCGCTCTGACTCAGAACGTGTGTCTTTTCTTCAAGGCCTATCTGGTGACCATGACCCACTGGGATCTGATCCAGCCTCAGGAAGGGCCGGCGGGAGACGGAGACTCCTTTGATTTACAAGTAGGCATAATAAGACCCCCGGTGTGAAGAGGTTTAGAATCCAAATTGGGGGGGTTATGAATCAAGAGTCTACATTGAAGGTGAGGGTGTGTTTCTCTATATGCGGAACTGGTCCCCATGTGAAGAGGTAGTTCAATCCAGCTTGGGGGGGCCCCTTTTTTCACCAAGATTCTACATGACAGCCACATACCGCTACCAATCGATCGGCTCCGAACTCAAGGGAGGCACCGGAAGTCTCCGCACAGTTACACGCTCTGGGTTTCAGCGAACGCCAAGGCATCTTTTGGACTCAACAAATCTGTAGCCCGTGGTTGGTCTCAAGGAGATTCCAAGAGTCATTGCAGTGAGGTCAGGTTGAAAGTGTGTCCCTCTTGGCTCAAGCACCAAGTACAACTTGAGACCCCAAACATCAGCCTCTTGCAGAACAGCTGCAAAGGCTCCCGAGAACCCTGAAGCTCACCTGATGAGCAACTGAAAGGTAATTTGTTGCTTCCACAGTGTGTAGGTCACCTGCTTTTCATTCCCGGGTGCCTCCAAGACTGTGGCGCCGGTGGCTCCTTGGACGTGAGCTCCCTCGAAGTTGAAGCCAGGTGGCCAAGCTGCCACCTGACGCTGGTGGAGCTTGGACACTTGGCTCGCGCCAAACTCACCAGACCTGTCCTGTCACAGATCTTCGAAGGGCTTCACCTGGAGGCCTTCTTGGAGTTTCGTAGTAAACCCCTTAGGGACCAAAGGGACGGTTCAGGTCCGTGCCAAAGCGAGGTTCTTTGGGCCCCATCCTCCAGCATCTATATAACGATCTTCTTGAGAGCTGGGCATGTGAACATGTGAACTTTGCAGGGGCCCCATGTGGTTCTTCATTCATCACCCAACTCCTTCTTGGATGTCGAGCAGTGTCGCATCCCAGAAACTTGGGAAAATGGTTTGGCTCCGTCCCTTGAAGTCCCTTGGCTGACAGGTTTGGAGATGGGCCTAGGGTTGATCTTGATGATCTTAGAATATGCACATGACATCGTCACACGCCTTCCACAGTCTGATAAGTGGTCCTTTTATACCTCTCAACTCCAACCGTGAAGAGTGGATGTGAGATGATGAATGGCTGCCATGGACTGAATTCTTGAGTAATTGTACGTATCAAACCTGACATTCCCACCTACTTTCTCAGAAGTCATGAGGATCAATCCCCGCAAGAAATTGAACAACCTTTGTATCCCAACAGTCCGTGGGCTCAGCATCGCCAGACTGTTTGCCCTCCTCGCCACGCGGCCAAGCGAAGCCACGTGAAATTCGCCCCCACCACGCGCGGCGTGATCTCTAGCGCCAGCTGCGTGTCTCCAGCTGCGCCAGTGCCAAGGCTGAAGGCCGCCCGCAGGGAGGGACGGATGGGCCACTGCCAGGCCACGGCAGCAGCCTGGGATGTCGGGGAACCGTCCTTCAACGGCTCACTTCCGAGTGAGAATTCCGTGGCCCGGGCATGGTAAGACTGAGCGGACATTGAGATGACCTGATATCAGATGAAGCTGGGCAAAAGCTGGGGAAGTTTGGTGGAACTTGGACGATTGCATGGAGCTTGTTCATCCTTTCTTCCTTGGTCTTTCCAACTTAGGTGGCAGGGCTCGATCAAAATGAACAAAATGCACGTTCTGGGGGAAGTCTGGGCATCTGCCATGGGACACCGTGGGCACCCGCCCTGGAAGGGTTCCAAACCAGCCCACCCAACTTCAGCCTGTTCATGTCTGTAATTAGTTTTATTTCTAGGTCCCCCACTGGTCCCTGGTTCCCATAAAAGGACGAAAACAGCGCTACTCCTCGCTACTCCTCGTCTTGAGTAATCAATTTTACATGTCGCATGTCGTTGTTCATCCTGCTCCGTCCGTTCCCAGCAACTGGCGCCATGTCCCCATAAGGAGCACGATTGACCGAGTAACGCATGGTCTCCAGCTCATGTAATCAAACTGTTGTGCTTAATTAAACAAAATTAGATTATAAAAACGTCTTCGCATGCTGGGTCTTACCTAATTAACAAATCTACATGAAGGGTTGGGCGAGGGCAAGTTGTCGTCTTGCTCCTTCACTGAGATTGGGGTCGCCAACGGCTGGTCATTCCGATTCTCTCACGCAAAACGCGTGAGAAGCCACTGGAGAGACCACCCAGCTGAAGCACAGCACCGGTTGTTTCAACTCCCTTGAAGACTGCTCGCCAGTGGAATTCGATCATCTCCAATTTAATATAATTTAATGGTTGAATGTGAACATGTTTAAGTATGTGGCCTGCAATCAAACACGTCTCGGAATACTGTTTAAGTATGATCACAAAAGAACCACTCTCAAAGGAGTAAGAACCCCTCACAGGTGAACCTGTTTGGAGAACAACTGGAAAAAAAACCACCCACCCAGATGAGTCCAGTCCTTCCCCAGATCTGGAAGGAGGGGCTATGACTTGATCTGCACGCTTCTGAGTGATGCTCCACGGCTCGGACCAAAGGATCACCGGCTTCTCTTCCATCTGGTAGATCGCCACATGAAAACCTGAGTCGATACATCCGTGATGGACGGTTCGACGCATGCCACGCATGCTACGCATGGACGCTACTTCTCGGACCCGACCGGGTGGACGCAACAATGCACGCGCATCAACATCATATCGATTGAACACATCAGAACACATCATCTTGGGTTCATCAGAAAGATAAGATGCATATCAGAAACATGAACATCTGAAATGAATACAATACTCTGTTGAGAAAGTCACTGATGTCAGCTCCCTGTAGGCCAGAGAAGGTCAATCGGCCTGGGCACGGGTCGAGTTGGCGCAAAGAGAACTGACTGAGCTATCACATGCTATCACCAACCAAATGGTAGATGATGTTGGAAGACTAGGGGAAGTCAAATCTGAATTCCGTAAATTTGGACCCAGGTCACTCAAACAGTTGATTTAAAGGCTCCGTTGAACAACCAAGTGGGACGGGAGCTTCATCATACCTCCCATTCCAACCTCATGAGGTTGGATTGGCAGTTATGTAGCTGGAAGCGCCCAGTGCCTAGCTGGAGCGACCTAGTTGAAAGTTTGGCTGTTGTGTCATGCTTCGCCCGAGGTGCATTCTTCCCCGCAATGGCATTGAAAGCATTGGCTCAGATCCGACTGCGCCCCGCAGCTGGACATTCTGCGCAGTGTGGCGCTCTCGTTCACGCTTTCATTGCTGAAATTGACTTGCCTGAGCGGTCAAACCAAGACGAAAAGTCGAGGTTGCCTACTTCGTCATATCTCCAAGCCATCCATGCTTATAATTTGGTTATATACAGTTGCCTACCTTTGTTGCCTTGAACCCTTTTCAAGCACCCCCGTGGCATACATGGTCTGACCTTTGGTCATACATGGACTTCGCCTTCCCCGTTCGCAGGACACACATGGAACATGAAGATGGACTCCTGATGATCCACCCACTCAGTCGATGAAAAGGAGACGGTCTGCTCGGCCGGAGTCCCGTGGAGGCCCGTGGAGTTCCGTGAAAGACGAAGAGACCGGTTCCGTGATGAAGACGAAGACGCGGATGCGGCCGTTGTTGTGGGTCGTGGCCGAAGCATGGAACACCGAAGGCTCTGATTCTTAGACACCCGCAGTGCGGGTCTGCCCCCTCTATGAGCGGTGCCCTCCACGAAAAGGGATGGTCCATGTCTGTAGCCCAGCCCAGTGCTGCTCATAAGTGCAACTTCACCGGGCCTTCTGCAAAAGTCAAGGAGCTTTGAAGACAATCCTGCGCACACTCTTGGTCCAACCCCTCAATAATGTTCCCGCCTATGAGTCTATGACCCTCCAAACCCATCAAAGACCCTCACACCAGAAGGCTCCAAGTCTGATATATTTGTTGGCCGTGCCGAGGTTCGACTCGGGTGCCTCCGTTGTAGTACTTTCGTTGCGGCCTGAGCAGCGACCCATTCACAGGCCATGTATGGACTCTATAATATACCTCGATAAATATTGGGGTTGGTTTTAGGGATCGAACTAAGTAGGTATATATGGGTACCGCATGGTACCATACATGACGTGCATGGGACATGATGATCATGATGAGCAGCCAAACGCCCAGGGCCCAGATTCTGGAGATGAGTGAGTGACGATGTTCATGCGTTGCATTTTCCATATGATCTTCAGCCACACATTGATCCTATAATAGTTGTTCGATGTTGTTGTGAGTCCGACTTCCCAAGCTTCGCAAGCTGGACCAAGGCGTTTTCAAAGGCCTCAGAACCCTTGGACCCTCCATAGCAAAGGGATTATCAGGACACCCCATGCATGTGAGGGTGCGGAATATTCATGGGTGACAGGACCAATTGTAGTGTTCGAGCTTGCTCTTTACAAGCAATTCATGAGCTCGAAAAATGTTCCGCCGCAGAAGCCACCACATCTCCTCCCAGCGTGCATGAAGGCTTCTTGTCTCATATTGTTCTCATACAGTATCTGTGACTCACGTGCATGCATAGGTCACGATAAATATGGATAATGGAGACCAATGACACTGGCCAAGACCCCATGAGATCTGCAACCCGTCTGAATTTCCATAGATGCGTGTGGAAACATTTGTGCATCAAATGTCATGAGATGTCATGAGTCATGAGGATTTGTGTCATTATACTGTACCAGTCTACCATTTGTCGTGTTTGTCTCTTTCCATCCATCTTCCGTGCCTTCTGTCACCTTCTGTCACCCCCAAAATTCATCCCATCCCCTCTGTCTTGCCAAGTGGTGATAGGGAACCATCCGGACACATCCGCCCTCCACCCTCGGTGCTGTTCCGCCCGAGCCGCTCTCGCCACTCTCGTTGGCCCCGACGACCGTCTCTGGTTGGGTGGGCGGTGCGCGGGTGGTGGTGTCGCTCACGTTCTCCGGTCCGTTGGAGATGGAGGGCGGTTCCTGAGGGTGTCGCACCGTGTTTGTTGGAAACTGGAGCTTGTGCCTGGCCAAATCCCATCCGGCCCCTGCATATTGAACCCTTACTAGCAAGTGGTTCGGGAACTCCCTCTAGCTCCTTGGCTCCCGTGTTTGGGGAAGGATGCCCAGACCATCCATATAGATGGACTAGTTTGGGGTCATAAACGGGGCAAATGTAGGTATTCCTTACATGGATGGTTTGGGAGGACTGCCCACGGCGACCCGAGCCACCGCTCCCTCCGGCTTGTGGGATCTTGAGAAGGAAAAAACTCAAGACATCCCAGAAGGATGAAGGAAAAGGATGAACATGATTCTGTTCATGGCTGGGATCATTCCAAATCATGTCCAAACCTTTCCTAACCTGCATCTCTAGGTACTACTCAGGAACTCTGGCAACAAATCGTGACAAACAATTTTTCCATGACTGCCCTAAGTCCTAAGTCAAATCCGTCAAAGTGACCTCAAATTGGGACCTCAACCAGTTCAGTCACTTTCCACTCACTTCTCTCCCTTCAGCTCAGTCCAGTCAAGACATGCTTCTCCCTTCGGGGTCCCCCGGCATGCCCCTTCTCATCCTTCTCTCATCCTTCTGTCATCCTTCTCTCCCTTCAGCCCAAGTCGCCGTACTCAGTGCAACACTCGTCTCCGTCTCCCAGCTCAAGCGCAAGGCCCCCGGGTCTCCACAGCTCGTCATCTGCACATCGATCCCTTCCTCTTCCGCGGGGGCGACCTCCGTCACGTCGCAAGAGGCAACGGTGATGCCCTGAGCGGCGCTCGGCCGGTGAGGCGGAGGTCGGTGTCTGGTCCAAGACAACGGATTGGTGGAGGGCGGAATTCTGGTTGGGAGTGTAGTATAGAAGCTTAAAATGACTTGATTATTCATCAAGAATCTGGGAGTGACCTCCTTTTGTGTGGGTCAACTACTCCCAGGATCAGATTGGTTGCTGACCCTTGAGACCGCCCATGACCAACCCTTGCCAATCCAACACAAAACGCAAAACCTCCGCCCCATCGCCGTAATACCCCAGAAACCTTTCGCCTTGGCGTTTCAGGTGTTTTTTTGATTCACGGATTTACTGTACTTAAGGAACCTGGAAAACATTAAAACTAAAACATATTTCACCAAAGAAAACTTTACAAACATCACCTGATCAGCAAAATCAGTGTTTTTTCCTTTTTTGGGGCCTTGGGCGGGTGGATCTCGAAGAGATCCTCCACGCCGGCCGCGCCCAGCTGGAGGGAGATGGTGACTGCACCCAGGGAGCCTCAGCGATCTGAGGTGAGGTGAAGCCGGGTATATAATTACGCATGCTGGCCCCACCATGGCGTCTTCCCAACAGCAGAGCTGTTGGAGTTTCAGGAGATCTCAGGAGTTTCGGATGACAAACAACTTAGTCAACCGACCTCTTTTTAAGGGTGAAAATGGTGAAGAGATTAATGTCGAAGCTGGGTCGCAGGGTGGAGATTGCCACAGAACTGTGGGTTTGCAGTAGGCCGGATCTTGCTCACCCATTCAGATTCCAAATCCTTCCACAACAATATGTCTTAGTTCTCTCATGTTTCTCCCACTCCCTTGAACAACCTCATTGTCATCCTATCGCGAATAACAGGGTGCATCCTATTGTCACCTCTTCCAGGAAGCCAGTCCTCCCACTTCAGTAGCCCCACTTCTTCCACGCCACCGCCGGCCACCGCGGCCCGACAGTGCCCACGTCCGCTCCGGAGCGGCAACAGGCGGCTGGGCGCCAAGGTGACATTCCACTCAAGCGCAGGCCTTCCAGCACAGGGAGGGTCCGGCAAGGCACTGGTGAAGATCACCAGTTCGGATAGTCTAGAGATGTCGATAAAGCTGAAAAAACGCCACAGAAAAAGAACACACTGTTTATTTCTTGTTGTTGAATTAGGTGTGATGAGTTGAACGAGTCTGACTCTGACAGGAGCAAGGTAACTACAGTAGCCCTTCAAAGGGGAGCACACTATCCACCTATATATATATATTCATTTTGAGGCGGCGCAGGATGTCTTCCTAAAAGAGCAATACATGCAAAAGCTGGATGATATCGATTCAACTTGCGCTGCATCTCCATTATGGTTTCTGATTCATGGCTTGAACTCCGGGTGGAGCCTTATCAAGCAACAAAACTTACTCTGCCATTTTGGTGGCCGATTTCTTGGAATAGTGCAGCACCAAATGTACAAATGTTGGCTGCTAGTAAGTCCTGCTCACACCAGTCACATCGAAGCAGAACAACCCAGTGGATTCCCAGTGGATCAAACACCCAGCCCTGCTAAGTGAAAAGGGTGCCTTAGCATGTCGACAACTTCTTCTTTGATGTGCAACATCATCTGGCCCGCATGTCCTAACTATTCCATCCATTAAAAAAGTCCCCACACTAAACTTAAATTGCTGGTTCCAAAGTACCAGCTAAAGTATAGTAACTATATATATACTTTAGTCGCTCTAGTTGGTGGTTCTGCGGCAGCGGGGTCTCTTCCCCTGCCCCAGCACAGCGACCACCTGTGAGGGTGCCCGATAGAATTTAATAGAGCGGACCTCTTTCACCCGCACAGTCATTCAGGAAAAAGAAAGACCATGGAAAACCACATGTTCCGAACCCACCTGGACAGCATTCCAAACATAACAATGCAAAACTTGAACAGCAATTCTTTTGTTTAGTTCTCTGGTGCTTCACGCTGGTGAACAGGCCCCAGATGTCCCAGGTGTAGGAAGCCTGGCCGCTGCTTCTTCCAAAGAAGCTCCACTAACCCTCTGCTGAAGTCCGGGCAGCACAAGGTTGTAGCCTACGATCTCACCAACATCCACAGGATGCCAAGACTCCTCCTGACACTTTGGCACAGCAGTCCGACCAGCGGGAACGAAAAGGAGCGTCAGTTCTGAGCCCCTTAGTCTTCGCCACAACGATATTAAAAAAAAGAAAACAGCTCCAAGGACAAGTGCCATCACATCAACAAAATAAAACAACAAATAACAATCCGAAACTTCCAACGAACTCCCCAAGACATGTTTCAAACCCTCAAAATTCGAGCCCCCGCCAAACCCTGCAGGAGCCATACTTTGGGGGTGTGGTTTCTGCGGATCGCCAAAGTGGATGCAGGCTAAGTAATGTTGGATCACGATTAGTAAAGGGGACTTCTATAATGCTAAATTTTTCCAAAATTATTCAGACCCCCGTGTTTGAAAAATGGTACCTCTATAATGCTAATTCTTTTTTTGGCCCCAAATTTTTACATTGGAAACCCAATTAATGAGGGTTTGAATTCCTTCTGAACCTGTCCACCTGCACTCCCCCCGCCTTCCTTCTGAACCCAATTAAACCCTTTATAAAACATTGCTCCTAAACAAATTTTCAAGGTAGTAGA